CTTCCATTTTAAATTACACATTCCAGTCCTTTGCTAATTATGAGTAATCTATGAATAATCTTATGAATAACAATAATAATTCCAACTTTAGCGACCTACTCGCCTCTCACTCGACAAATAATAATAATCATCACAGCAAACTTACTACCCTAAATATTGGATCTACTAACTACCGAAGCGTTGCTAAGCTATCTCTTCCTGAAAAACGTCAATCCTTAGTTCGTCATCTTCGTCTCCAATCGCTAGATATCCCCTCGCTACAGGATACCAACACTGAGGATGAAAGTACCCAGTCAACTCTTAACATCCTCTTCAACTCTAAAAGCACCTTTTGGACTAAGCACTGTGGCGTAGTGTGTCTCAATCCCTCCATTACTGTTACACTCATACCAGTCACTGTCGACCAGCGGTTGATCATTTGCGAGATCTCTCACACCCGCCGCATGTTTGAACCTTTTACCTTAGTTAATCTATATGCATCTCCTCAGCATGCACGGAATCGCATGTTCTTTGAAAACTTGCTTTCTCTACCTCCTTTCTCGTCCTTTTCAACAGATTAGTCATCTCTGTCGTCTCCTCCGCGACACCTTTCTCGAATCCTTCTGACCGGGGATTTTAACTATGACCTGTCCCGAGGCATAGGTCGTCGCCTGCAAGATTGACATAGTCATGTTCAGTAATATTTCTTTAACTGTATGACAGCCGATACTTGAAGTTCTACCTTTCAGAGCACAACTTCTTCGTCCGCCATTGATTATATCTACACTATACCTGATCTGCACGTTTCTCTCATCAACTCTACAGTGGATTTTGTGTCTCAAGAGTGGACGGATCACTTACTGTTGACTGCTAAGTTTAAATTCACTTCTCGCATCCATGGCAAAGGTGTCCAGCGTATAAATCCTCACCTGGCACAAAGCCCTTTCTTTGCCTCATCCTTGGACAAAGCTTTGGACAAGCTACTAGCACTACACCCCGAGAATGTTTCTTTCTCTCAGTTAATTTGGGAAGCCATTAAATCCAAAGCGCGACAAGTTGCATCCAAATGTAGCCGGAAGTAGAGTCAATGGCGTCAATAGCAACTGCAGTGGTTACAGAACAACGTAAGAGATTATTGTCGAAGTACAAGTCATAGCCTACCGTACTACACGATCACCTAGGTGTCGTCAAAAAACAGATGCGTCTTTGCAGCAGGAGACTGTGGATAATGCCGCCCTTAAGGCAGGTAAACACTGGCGAGAAAAAAGCGAGCTTTCGACAGGTTTTCTGAAAAGAACTGCTTCAGCCCACTTATCACAAACGTATATCGCAGAACTACAGCATTCTGAAACGAATGAGGTCTGCACCACCCCAAGTCAACTTCAAGCAGCTAGTATTGGCTTCTATGAGCGGTTGTACACCCCCACAATCAACATGTCCTTCCGCTATGAGCCAACTCTTGAACGCTGTTCTGTCTGATTTGCGAATATCTCAAGCACAGAGCACACGCCTGCTGCGTCCTTTTACGGTATCTGATCTGCAAGAAGCTGCTAAGCGATGCCCAACCTACAGTAGCCCTGGCCATGATGGTATCCCGTATCAAGTGTTGGCCCTAATACTTCGCCCATGTTACCGCCAGTACTATTGCAGTTCGTGTATATAATAATGCTCTCTCTCTCGCGGTGCTTTTCCTTCGAGTTGGCAAGAAACATGCATGACCTTGCTGCCAAAGAAAGGAGACCATACCAGTCTCAAGAATTGAAGACCCATTGCTCTGATTAATACTGATGCCAAGGTATTCATACATCTTTTAAATGAACGCCTGATGCCACATATGAACCGTTTGATATCTTCTTATCAACTCGGCTTCATGCTTGATTGTTTCGTTGGTGAAAGCGGCAAACTGCTACACACTGTCATGGCTGATGCCGAATCCTCGTATTCCATAGCTGTTGGTCTACTTTTGAACCAGGAGAAGGCATATGATCGCATTCACTCCGATTATCTTCAACAAGCTATGTCAGTCTTTGGAATCCCAGACCCAACTATTGCCAGCCTACCGTCCCTCTTCTTTTTCATAGCAATCAGAATCAATATCAATGGGCACATTTCGCAGTAATTTATACAGAAGCGCGGACTTCGTCAGGGTGATCCTATTTCCCCACTTTTGTTTAACGTTGCTTTCGATCCTTTTTTCTGTGCTCTTTCAACGAACACAGCTATTCAAGGCTATCAGTTTTCCTCACGGGAGTTATCGGATGCTTCTACTAGAGGCTCACTTGAACCGAGCAAAGCGCTAGCTTATGCTGATGACACTTTGGTCCTACTCAATTCGACGAGTGACATGTCCATTCTCCTGCAGATTATCACGCTTTATGAGCGCTCTTCTAATGCCAAGTTCAACTATTCGAAGGTTCAAGCATTCTCTCTCTCATTCTGGTATTCTCTCGACAACATGGGCCAACTTTCTACAGCAACTTCCTACATCAATTACATTCTGGCGCGACGGGACGTCGCCACAACCATTGATTTACTTAGGTTATCCCGTTTACACCAGTATAGCTCAGCGTAATTCATTCGTCGATCAGCTACTGCTTAAAGTCCAAACAGCTTGAACCCTGCGCTCCCAACGATTATTGTCGATCCGCAGCCGCGTGACAGTTCTGAACACGCTGCTTTTTTTCCAAACTCTGGCATGTCCTACATATCTTGCTATTGACTTCTGTACAGCTCCAACGGTTCTGAGGAGTCGCCAGTGCCTTTCTCAATGGTTATCGATTTCCAAAGATCAGCTCTGCAACTCTCTCTCTCTCTCAAGGAAACATGGTGGGGTAGGGGCCTTGGATCCTCACGTCCAACAAATGATGTTACAGTGGCGTTGGCTGCTTCCGCTTCTTGCCAACAGATCTCATGCCACACAGTCTCTACGTTGCCTCCCTTACCTTGAGCGTATCCTTGCTGACATCAGTGGCTATCCTAGCAGCCACCTCTGTCAGGTGCTATTCCCTTCTCTTAGGTCTCGCCTTCTCCATCTCGTGAACAACCCATTCAAACTGCTTTTCCAGGCTTTCGATAAACTATTATCATTGTCTGTTTCGGAGCACCTGAATGCCAAGACCTTCTTGGCTATGCCAGTCCATTATGCCCTAATAAGTCCCACCGAAAGCCCTCTGTTGTGCTCATACTTAGTGGATCAACTATTAACCACTTATGAAACAATAACTGGCAATTATTCGACTTTAGCTTGTTACTTTGAAACAACTGTGCGGATCATTATTTAAACCAATTACTAGGAACTGCATTTTAAGGTACGCATATCCAATAACTCTGATCCATCATTGTTATTAGGGACCATCGTCTTATCAAAAGCACCCGATTCGCCCTAACTCTCTCATTGCCTCAATTGTCATTCATAAGCCTCTATGAAAAGTTTTACGACTTCAGTTGAAGAGTGTCCCACATTTAGTATAAATACTTATCCTTAATAAAGTCAATCGACATATATATCTTTTAGTCTGGTTAATTCTAGTCTTTATTCTCTTTAATTGATACTTTGTATTCAACACCGTGGGATTGGACCGTTGAGATGAGAGCTTTGTCCCTATAGCGTATCAAATATCTGAGCATTATTGACCTACTACAGTCAGAAAAGAGAAGGCTGAGTCAGCATCCCAACGGTGCATAATCTGGAAGAGTTGTTTAGGATCACACTAATTAAAGAGTTGGTGAAAGCTGAAAGAGACTATTTGGCAAAATATGCCATGCTTTTATTGGAAAGTCTAATACTAAGCGCATTATGGGTCATAGCGCCAACAAAATCGATTATTCCTATAAATCATCATACTCATCTATTGGATCTATTTCGATGAAAACGTTGATCAAAGCGTTCTCGTTTACTCTTTCAGTTCGTTCCCAGGTTACTCTATTTTTGTGTTGTATGTCTACCAAGTATATCATTTTATCTGGCAAATAATCACCATCAATTACTAATAGAGCCTTTCTACCAAACACATCTATTAAGCTGCTGTAATGACTTTGATCCACAGTATCAAAGGAATCGAATAGCATATCCACTCTACTTTCAACTTCATCCATAGAGGAGCAAGTAATTTTAATGTTTACATGACGTACTGATGGCAAGAGACGCAAGTAACCAGCAAGTGACCCACTTTCTACGGCACGCACTCTCAGTGTAAGAGTATCTAGTGTCGAATTCAAAGGCACATTTGCATCTATTGCAGCTTGTGATGGCGGCTGGAAAGGCGCAAATGTCCAGTAGTGGAAAGCCTTCATTTGCGTACAAGTAGTGAGAATATCTTCAACCCATGCGGCGCGGTCTCTATAATTTAATTCAAGATTCAAGGAAAAACTTGTGATATTGTGTTGATGCCTTTGGAGCATCTGTAACAGCCTTTCTTTATTCCTTGATGTGTTTCTGAAACGTACACGTGCCATTCTGGTCTGCTGCAGGGTAAGCTCTGGAGACATGCCTCTCATACTTTCAAAGCAAACGTGTAAGTTGGTCGTATGTTTTAAATACGCTTCAAGCAAAGAAAATGATCCCGTTGCATTAATTTCATATGTTTGCATTGAGCTTAGGTACTCCATAAGCCTATCGCCGACATTAGCAAAATAGTCTTCCAACTGGCTCCCAGGAGCAAAAGGGATATAGACGCCAAATCGCAATATCAAATTTCGAAGATTGGGAAATTTATGCATGATATATTCAACACTGCCTTGAAGAGAGGACCAGCATACACGTACGGTTGTGATATTTTTGTGCGGCTGTATAGATAACATATCAAGAGTGGCTGGTGATCTGCTTTTCACATCCAATACAGATGTCCTCGAATTTACGCTTAAAGACGTCAAGTTAGGGCAAAGCTGGATTATTTCATCATAGTCTGTAAGTGACCAAAAGGTTTCCATCTTGTCGACTGTCAAGTGTGTTAAGTTGCTAAATTCTGATAATTGCTGACAGAGTTCTTTCATTATGGGAGTAGAAGGATGCTCTGGTGGTAAATAGACGTGAGTGAGCGAATGGCGAAAAAACGAAACAAGCGTGTTGTAACAGTCAAAGTAATTACGGTGTTTAATGAATAAAAAAGGGTTAGTAAGTTCCTTTATATGAGACCAGTGCTTTGATGCGGCAGTGGTAATAGTACGCCAGGAATCATAGTTCCTGATGGCGCCCTTAACGCGTTCTACGTTTGGACAGGCTTCAACAAGTTCATTGATGTAAAGCTCTGCTGTTTCATATTTTCGGTATCTTGTGCTAAGGCATATGGTTCGAGTAAGGTGCCCTGCGCTGCTGTTTTTCATACAGTGTAAAAATCTTTCCATGGTCTCATCGTTGCATAAATCTACGAGGCTATACAGGCACGTTTTTGCAACTTGGCTCCATCTCTTACAGACAAGCTGATATTGCACCATCCAACTTTTCTTGTACTTGGCGCTTGTCTGAACATATGCAAAAATCTGCTGTAAAATTTCACTAGGTATCTCATTGAAGCCTGGCATATTGAGATAAAGTATACACAAGAACGATCAACTGTCAAGTAAAGGATAACTCAAAAGAAAAGCGCAGGATATGCTGCGCACAATATATCTTGTAGTGTGGCTGTGATATTTGTCTGAAAAAGGAAAGACACAAACTGCTGGTTTACTTTTTTCGTTTAAATAATTCATTCATCAAAGCCATTCAACCTAGCTTGGATCCATTCCCCACAGGACGAAAACCTGTTCTAGTACCGTGGAGGAAAAGAAAAGCAATCGAATAGAGTCAGTAACCTTAGACCAACGTAGTCTCGCCAAGCATAGAACGCGATTGCTGTACTGCCTATGATGAGGCCATACTCTACACCTATAGCAGTCGTTGAGGTCAGCT